CGAGGATAATGAAATCAAGGAAGTTGATACTGTTAAATATTTGGGGGTGCATCTGTCTCGGAACTTATCCTGGAGTGTCCATATCGATGCCTTAAAAGCAAAGCTATCGGCTGGCATTGGGATACTTTATAAGTTTAAGAATAAGCTGACAGAGAAAGTTAAACTCTTACTGTACCAATCGCTTATTCACAGTCATTTAACTTATCTTCCTATTGCTTATGTCCATAAAATGACGAACGATCTAAGATCTCTTCAATCGTGCCAAAACACAGCTTTGAAACTTGTTTTTAATCTATCAAGAAGGCATTCCACTTTGAGTGTATTTAGAGAGTATGGTCTATCAATACTACCAGTTTCTGGTTTATATAAAAAGCAGCTATTGATCTATGTATATAAAACCTTACATGGCCTTGGTTACCATGTCCTACAATTCCAAAACAATCAATCCGGAACAACCAGGAACAGTGATTTACTCTACGTAGCAAGATATCGGTTAGAGGTATCCAAGCAGAGAGTAGAGTAAATGAGTTTAATAAACTGCCCAACGCTATTAAAACACTGGAACGAGTATCGGTTTTTAAAAACGAAATAAAGAGTTACTTACTACAAAATATTGAATCGCTTCTTACGTAAAGTTTCTTTTTTTTTGAATGTAAAGCTTTTGAACACGGATCGTTTTGCTACCATACGTTAGTTTTTTTTGTTTGCATTGTATGATAAAATGATAAAATTTTAATCTTAGGCACCCTCTTTACAGCCAATTTGGCGCAGAGGAATATTACTAATATACAATAAGTTATATGTAATAGTTATCTTATCTTATCTGGTAATCCAAACTGATATTGTATAAATCGTTTCAATTTAGTAGTAAGTATGTACCATTCTTTTGAATCTATTTGATGTACTACAAAAGATCTTGATCTTATTGTGCTAATACTTAATATTGAAATAAATGAATTACATAAGTTAAAAGCAAGTCTAATTTAAGTATTTACTATCAAAACGTTAGAGGTTTGAATACCAAATTAACTGACTTATATTTAAAAGGTTTTGACTGCAATTATAATATTATTTCCTTGATCGAAACATGGCTCAAACCTCATATTTTTAATTCCGAAATACTTCCAAATTAATATCAAATATACAGGAGTGACCGCGAGGGCAGAATCGGCGGTGGTGTTCTTTTTGCCGTGCATTCATCGATACCATCCGAGGAAGTTAGTGTTCCTGTCATTGAATATACCGAATTTAAATGTATACGTGTACAGGCTGGAAAGATTTATATTTATTTAGCTCTTTGCTACATTCCTCCTAACTCTGCCGTATCAGTATATATGCAGCTAGTTTCTTTACTTGAGAAAATTTTAATGTATGCCGATGAACGTTGTCCTCTANTCAAATTATAATCTGGAGCAGGTATCCAATTTTGTCGATCTTGGTATCACAATGGATTCCAAACTCAATTTCAACCATCATATTAATGTTACAGTCAATAAAGCCAAAGGCGTTTTTGCATTTGTAAAGCGATGGTCAAAAGAGTTCAAAGATCCTTATGTTACAAAAGCTCTTTTTACCACTTTAGTTAGACCTATACTAGAATACGGATCTATTGTTTGGAATCCCAGCTACCAAGTTCATTCAGAGAGGATTGAATCAATTCAAAAACAATTCTTGCGTTTTGCGTTGCGTGACTTTAACTAGGATTCAGATTACAATCCTCCCCTTACACAAGTCGTCTAAAGCTCAGAATTGCTAGGTATAATATTTATCGTAAAATTAATGACAGGCTTGATTAATAGCCCGGCCCTCCTGGCTGAGATCAATTTTAGTGTGCTCTGTCGAGTGTCAAGACACTTTCGACTTCTGTTTTTGAAGCCATGCAAAACTAATTTTGAACTAAACGAAGCATTTCGTTGTTTATGTCAAGATTTTAACTCTCATTCCAACACGTTTGATATATCGGACTCGATTTTTACTACAAAGAAAACTATCATTTCCACTCTCAATAACTGAAATACTATATTTAGTATATCCAATCAGCTGATGAATTTGATTCTGTAGCTGAATAGTTTTAGATATTGACACTTAACAAACTCCTGTTTCCACTACTCGGCACCAAAAAACTAAAAAAAGGGTTCCGTACTAGGGATGTTAATTTTTCACCTTTTTGCGATCCCGGGATTTTCGGGACGTCGTTATCACAATCCCGGGGTAAGTCCCGGGATTTAGATATTCATTACTTTTCACCAACTTAAATCGAAAAAATTGCTTCTATATTGTTTGAGAAGCTCTCCTACCATAAAATAAATAATAAATAAATGGGTTTGAAACCTACTTTTTATTTGAAGTGGCGTTTTTATTTTTCTTTCTGACGTCAAAATTTATTTTAAAGGATTTTGTAATTTTAAATATATGATTAATTCCAAAAACTGTTAAAAAAAATTCAGTGGAATGTACCCGTAGAATAAAAATATGGGTACCAAGTGCAAGAGGAAATTTCTTTAGAATTTAAAAAAATTAAAATTTTTTGGATTCACAAGGACGAATTGGTAATTTTTTAAGGGGATAAAGTTAGAAGGCCGAAATACGAAGATTTTATCGGGTCATATAAGTCTNAGAGAGGATTGAATCAATTCAAAAACAATTCTTGCGTTTTGCGTTGCGTGACTTTAACTAGGATTCAGATTACAATCCTCCCCTTACACAAGTCGTCTAAAGCTCAGAATTGCTAGGTATAATATTTATCGTAAAATTAATGACAGGCTTGATTAATAGCCCGGCCCTCCTGGCTGAGATCAATTTTAGTGTGCTCTGTCGAGTGTCAAGACACTTTCGACTTCTGTTTTTGAAGCCATGCAAAACTAATTTTGAACTAAACGAAGCATTTCGTTGTTTATGTCAAGATTTTAACTCTCATTCCAACACGTTTGATATATCGGACTCGATTTTTACTACAAAGAAAACTATCATTTCCACTCTCAATAACTGAAATACTATATTTAGTATATCCAATCAGCTGATGAATTTGATTCTGTAGCTGAATAGTTTTAGATATTGACACTTAACAAACTCCTGTTTCCACTACTCGGCACCAAAAAACTAAAAAAAGGGTTCCGTACTAGGGATGTTAATTTTTCACCTTTTTGCGATCCCGGGATTTTCGGGACGTCGTTATCACAATCCCGGGGTAAGTCCCGGGATTTAGATATTCATTACTTTTCACCAACTTAAATCGAAAAAATTGCTTCTATATTGTTTGAGAAGCTCTCCTACCATAAAATAAATAATAAATAAATGGGTTTGAAACCTACTTTTTATTTGAAGTGGCGTTTTTATTTTTCTTTCTGACGTCAAAATTTATTTTAAAGGATTTTGTAATTTTAAATATATGATTAATTCCAAAAACTGTTAAAAAAAATTCAGTGGAATGTACCCGTAGAATAAAAATATGGGTACCAAGTGCAAGAGGAAATTTCTTTAGAATTTAAAAAAATTAAAATTTTTTGGATTCACAAGGACGAATTGGTAATTTTTTAAGGGGATAAAGTTAGAAGGCCGAAATACGAAGATTTTATCGGGTCATATAAGTCTCTAACATATAATTTTTTCAAAAACAAATATTGCGAAATTTCTAGGATAAATTTTAAATAATTTTCAAAGGACATTTTAATTACTTGCCAGTCCTTCTGCACCAAAAACTTGAATATGTTTAAATTCTACAGGATTTCCGCCTTAATTTGATACCTATACGTCTTCTCTAAGCACATTTCTCTGAATTTTTCATTTTTGAATTACTGACGTCAGTGTAAAAAATTAAAAACCCAATTTTACTATATTTCGCCCATGGTTTCGCGAATATATTGATATTTGTGTTTAAAATTTACTATCGCGCGGTGTTAAATGTATAATGAGCTAGATATTTATAAAAAAAATATTAATTATTAAAAAAAAAAAATAAGCCAACACTGGTCAAGGAAAGGAGTTTCTATTATTGCCATCAGTGCTAATTACAAATCCCGAAAATCCCGAGATTATTTGCCAAGAATCCCGGCATTGAAAAGGCCGAGATCCCGGGATTAACATTCCTATTCCGTACGTCATGCGGACTGCGCCCCTCGTGTCGGTTGGGCGGGAATGGAGGGTAAAAAGCCGTTGCGATTAATAAAAAAAAATATAATAAAAAATGTGTATAAGTTTGAATTAATTGTTTTTATAGACAGGGTATACATACCAATTTTACTTAGGCTCTATATATTATACTATATGTGTGTACTATATGTGTGTATGATAAGATGCACAATCCATATATTAGTACATATTTTTGTAAGCACACATACATATATTAGTACATATTTTTGTAAGTACTCTATGGCTGATATATATTAGTGTAATGATTATGTAACTAATTTTTTACCTGTTTTAGTATTACCCTGATGAGGGTGCAATACTAGCACCGAAAGCTAAATAAATTGACATAATACATTTCAATTGGCTCGGAGATATCGTCTTTGGATTCATCTTATACTTCTTTACTTGTTTTTTTATTGTGCACGTAGTTACATATAGATATTCATATTTAGTTACAAAAATTACCTCCATTTTATGTCAGCATCTGCGTTGCCACAGACACATTTTTTTTCCTAACATAACCAACCAAATCCTACCAAACATTTTTGTTCGCAGCAGCAATAGATATACGATATATAAATTTATGATATCTCTTTATATGTATCATACAATACGCATGTATATAGATATTTATGTATATTGATACTCATATGAACTCTAAACTACCTTTTCTTACTACTGGGTTTAAATTAGTGTAACAGTAGAATCATTCGATTTTTTACCAGCGTACAAACATAAGCATTGCACTTGTTATCTTATTTTGCATTTCCTTATCACTAACCTTCTGCCTATTATATTTATTGTTGTGGAAATTATCTCAGCTAACTGTGTACAAATATTTTAAGCGACCGGTTTGGGTACAATTGAATTCGTTCACCTAAGCTCACTTCACTTCTGCTTTGGCTTGGAAATAAAGAAAACGCTTTGCACTTATATTTAAGCCACATCGGTGTTTCATTTATATTTAGAACTTTCTCGGCCTAAATGTTTCGCTGGAAGGATTAAGAAACTACTTAATTCTCAAACATTTGGTGACCCCGACGTGATATCGAAATTTTCGCATTTTAATATTTCGTGATCGTTTGCCAAGTAGAAGTAACCTCGGTTCGCATATTTGTATGTACACAGCTTTCGACATACATTTTCGTTGCCATCGAGTGCATCCATAGGTTCAGTTATTAGCGCGCATATTATATCGCGGATATTTCTCTACCGAAACCAAAAATACTCGATTTGTTTGCTTAAAAATTCCAAAAAAGTCGAAACCGGGTGACGAGAGCGTTAGTCTAGCGGGTGATATCGCGTTTTACAAAAAGGAATGTAATTCCCTTCAACGGCAGCTGGATGCTCTCAGTACCTTTTTGACAAATGATCGCTTAAAAGGTTTGGATGAAGCAGATATTTCGGCTCGGCTTAAGCATGCCGAACGCATGCAGTCAAACTTTGAGAATGCTCGCTCAGCCCTCAAGCGACTGGACAGGAAGGAATTCGAGTCGGATTCGGACGAAAACTTTTTCAAGGCATATATTGAGCTTGAAGCGAAACTCAATCGTGAACTAAAATCTAAGCAAAAGGCTTGTGGCGCGCACTCATCGACTCTACGAGCCTTCTCCTGGGAAGAAGCTGCGGTACAGCTTTCCCAACGACGGTCCAGACTACCTGAGCTGAAAATTCCAGTTTTTAGCGGCTCATATCTCGATTGGCCATCGTTCTTCAGTACATTTACTTCAGCAATAGATAAGGACATGGAGATGTCCAAATTGGAAAAAATGCAATATTTGATCACCAGCCTCGATGGAGCAGCTTTAGATACCATCCGCTCACTTGATCCCACTGAAGAAAATTATAGCAAAGCATTAGATTTACTAAAAGGACGTTTTGATAATAAATTGCTTAATTTTCAGGCTCACATAAAGGCAATTTTCGGGCTACAACGTGTAGAGGAGGGCATTTCAGGCGGATTACGAAAATTAAGCGATCAAGTAAACGCCCAAACGCAAACTTTGGCAACTACAGAAGAAACATATAATGGCTTACTCATTCATCTCGTGACTAGCAAACTAGATCTACACACGCACGAAAATGGGAGGAGAACTTGTCTACTCAAAAATTACCGACCTGGCTAGAGATGTCAACGTTTTTGGAAAAAAGATGTCGCATGGCTGAAAATTTGGAAAATGCTATGGTCAATCAGACACCTAGCAAACAGGTGGGCAAAAATTCAGCTCAATCAAAATCAAAAGCAAATGTACTAGTTGCAGCATCTAGTGTAAAATCAACCTCACTTTGTGTTTTTTGCGATTCAAAGGAGCATTTTATTAATGTCTGTACTCGTTTTTTAAATCTTTCACCCAAATTGCGCTATAAAGAAGCAAAAAGGTTTCATTTGTGCTTGAATTGCCTTCGTAAGGGCCACACTGTCAAGCAGTGCAAATCGGGCAGCTGCCGGCATTGCCAAGCAAAACATAACTCGTTGTTGCATATAAATGGTGTTCAAGACAGTGGACCGACATCAAGCTCGCCCCCAGCTGTCACAAACAGCCAATCATTAGCTCAACAGTCAACTTTAGTTACGTCATTAGTTGCCGGCGTGTGCTATTAGCGACAGCCATCGTTTTAGTTAAAAATCGTGCAGGTACGCTAGTTCCATGTCGAGCCATTTTAGACTCCGCATCTCAACTTAATTTCATTACAACTCGATTTGCGAATCAGCTTCAACTTCGTTCCTGTCACTCACCAGTTTCAATATCTGGCATCGGAGAGGCGAGTATCATCGCCGATAGGTGTGTTGACATCTTTGCTCAAGCGCAAGATGGCAGCTTCTCAACATCGTTTGCAGCACTAATCACACGAAGCATAACCGACTATCAGCCGAACTTTGATATCAACGTTGACGGCTGGAATATACCCAATAACATTAAACTGGCTGATCCCACATTTTTCAAAGCAAGTCGCATTGACCTTTTGATTGGAGCTGAACTTTTCTATGACCTAATTTGCGTTGGGCAAGTTAGGATAGCTGACCATCTTCCTACGCTACAAAAAACTAAGTTAGGCTGGGTGGTTTCAGAAGGGGTATCGCACTTCAATAGTCGCTCCACAGCTCTTTCGTCCTTCAGAAATCCAAAGCCACTAGGAGATAGTAATGACATACTGGCAAGCATTGTCACGCGCTTTTGGGAGGTCGAAAATAGATTCGCCGCAACCCCTAACCCAACCTTGTCAGATGAAGATGTTTTCTGCGAGAAGCATTTCGTACAAAATCACGTTCGTCTGCCATCAGGAGCGTGTTCAGTAAGGCTACCTCCTAAATCTAATTTCGATATTCTCGGTGACTCGTACGACCTTGCTTTACGGAGATTCAAGGCTCTAGAAAGAAAGCTTCAAAGAGATCAACCCACAAAGCGTTTATACTCAGACTTCATGCAGGAATACATGGATCTTGGTCACATGTCAATGGCATCATTACTAGCAGGCGCTCCGGTTTACTACCTACCCCACCATTGTGTTCGAAAACAAGATAGTACTACTACAAATTGCGTGTAGTATTCGACGGATCTGCTAAAACCACTTCTGGGCACTCTTTAAACGATTTGTTGCTGTCAGGACCAACTACACAACCAAAACTTTTTAGCACATTACTTCGTTTCAGATTTTTCAAGGTTGCGCTTTGTGGTGATATATGCAAAATGTATCGCTGTGTTAAAATGGCTAACCCTGATAACCAGTTGCAATGCATACTTTGGCGAGATGATCCATCAGAGGAAATAAGAATCTATAAGCTCGACACTGTGACATATGGTACAAGGCCAGCTGCGTTTTTAGCCATTCGGGCTATGCACCAACTTACGTTTGACGAAGAAGAAGCATTCCCCATCGGGGCAAAAATCATTCGAAGCGACTTTTACGTAGACGACTTAATTTCTGGTGGTGATACGATTGAAGAAGTCATGCAAATGAAGCAGCAGGTGAAGCAGCTACTTCGACGAGGAGATTTTCCTATTCGGATATGGTGTTCGAATGAAGCTGTCGTTCTTAAAGATGAAGATGGGCAAGACTGCGAACAATTCTTGAAGTTTCATGATGGTACCGATGTTACAAAGGCGCTCGGCCTTGTGTGGGACCCCATATCAGACCAATTTCTGTTTAGCTTCACGCCAATTTCAAATTCGGGAAAAATCACAAAACGTTCGATTCTCTCGGTAATAGCGCGGTTCTATGATCCACTTGGGTTAATTTCGCCTGTAATTACAAGTTTGAAGGTATTTATGCAAGCCTTATGGAAAGAAAAGTTGGATTGGGACGAAAGTTTGCCGCAGTCCTTGCATTGTACATGGTTGGATTTGTGCAGTCAACTATCCATCGTTAGCAGCCTTCGCTTCCCACGCTTCGTACTCGCTATGCAGGTACGTGTACAGCTCCACGCATTTTGTGATGCCAGTTTATCTGCTTACGGTGCTTGCCTTTACACCCGTATTGAAGATCAAGGTGTCATAAAAACACATCTCCTGTGTTCCAAGTCGAGAGTGACACCATTGAAATCACTCACCGTTCCGAAACTCGAATTGTCAGCCGCATTGCTGCTGGCGGAATTGGTCTCAAACATTTTGGAAAATAGTCAGCTATCTTACGAATGTCATTGCTGGTCGGACTCAATGATGGTTTTGTCATGGCTGCGGTCTTTTCCTGGAAATTTTAACATATTTGTTTCCAATCGCGTAGCCCAGATTCAATCCCTCACATCGGGCATGACAAGGCATCATGTTCCTACTGATATAAATCTTGCGGATATTCTTTCACGTGGTTGTGCTCCAAAGGAGCTTCTAAATAACTTTCTTTGGGCAAATGGTCCTGCATTTCTCCGTACAGATTCATCGCACTGGCCAGGAAACATGGATTTCTTGACTGATCTTCCAGAAAGGCGACGCCGTGTTCTGGTTACAAGTCCTCGAATTGATGCAACTTTTGATTGCAAATTTCAAAATTCATTTGGCAAGCTACAACGCGTATTCGCATACGTTTACAAATTTTGTCAGTTAAACGCAAAACGCTCTGTACCATCAACTGGATCGCTTACTGTCGATGACGTAAAATGTGGTACATTATTATTAATCAGGCATATACAGCAAGTATACTTCGCAACAGAATACAAACTACTAAAGGAAAATAAACAGTTACCTTCGTCTAGCAACCTGCTGTCTCTCAATCCATTTGTCGACGATTTTGGTGCACTTCGCGTTGGAGGACGACTTCATTATTCAAATTTGGACTTCGAGGCAAAGCATCCGCTTTTGCTACCAAAGCAGCATCCAGTCACCAACGCGCTCATTGAATTTTATCATCGAAAACTCCTGCATGCAGGACCACAGAGTTTGCTAGCATCGATCCGACAGCAGTATTGGCCTATTGGTGGGCGCAAAACAGTCGCTAAAATTGTCAATAAATGCATAAATTGCTATCGCCTGAAGCCTCGGGTATTACAGCAAATTATGTCGTTTCTGCCAAAAGATCGCGTGCGGCCATCCAGAACATTCCACACCACCGGGATTGATTACTGTGGACCATTTCATTACAAACACACTGTACGCAACCGACCGCCTGTCAAATGCTATGTATGCATTTTTGTTTGCTTTGCGACGAAAGCGACTCATCTTGAGCTTGTTCAAGATTTATCGACTCAATCATTCATCGCAGCACTTAAGCGTTTTATCAGCATTAGAGGCAAACCGAGCACAATCTGGTCTGATAACGCAACAAATTTCGTAGGAGCGAAAAATGAGCTGGAGAAGCTGCGAAAATTATTTTTTAATCAAAATCACAACAACGCAATAGCAGAAGCTTGCATTGAAAATCATATAGACTGGAAATTCATTCCACCTCGGTCGCCGCACTTTGGTGGTTTATGGGAGGCTGCGGTCAAATCCGCAAAACTTCATTTTTATCGGACCGTTGGCATTTCCATTTTAACTTTTGATGAGCTTCGCACTTTGGTCTGTGAAATTTCTGCTATTGTAAACTCACGCCCCCTCTGTCCAATTACAGAAAACCCACATGATCTTGACGTGCTTACGCCAGCGCATTTCCTCATAGGTGGACCACTCGTAGCTATCACTGAACCAAACGTAACACATTTAAACATGAACCGCCTTAGCCGATGGCAGCGAATTTGTCAAATGCAGCAAATCTTCTGGCAAAAGTGGAGCACTTCGTATTTATCATTGCTACAAGAGAGGTCTAAGTGGCGTACAGCTACCCCAAATGTACAGCAAGGTGCTATGGTGCTTCTGAAAGACGACAACTTACCCCCCTTAAAATGGACTCTAGGTCGAATTGAGCGCTCATTCACTGGTGATGATGGATATGTCAGAGCAGCAATTATACGAACTGCAAGCGGACTTGTAAAAAGGGCCATAACCAAGATTGCTGTGCTTCCGATTGAATCAGACATGGTTGAAAGCCTACGCCTTCCAATGGGGGGAGTATGTTCGCAGCAGCAATAGATATACGATATATAAATTTATGATATCTCTTTATATGTATCATACAATACGCATGTATATAGATATTTATGTATATTGATACTCATATGAACTCTAAACTACCTTTTCTTACTACTGGGTTTAAATTAGTGTAACAGTAGAATCATTCGATTTTTTACCAGCGTACAAACATAAGCATTGCACTTGTTATCTTATTTTGCATTTCCTTATCACTAACCTTCCGCCTATTATATTTATTGTTGTGGAAATTATCTCAGCTAACTGTGTACAAATATTTTAAGCGACCGGTTTGGGTACAATTGAATTCGTTCACCTAAGCTCACTTCACTTCTACTTTGGCTTGGAAATAAAGAAAACGCTTTGCACTTATATTTAAGACACATCGGTGTTTCATTTATATTTAGAACTTTCTCGGCCTAAATTTTTCGCTGGAAGGATTAAGAAACTACTTAATCCTCAAACAATTTTTTTGAGTTTTAATATATATATTTTTTTCAATGTCAAATTTTTTAAAAACATAGCTAACATAACATTTAGTAAACCTAAAACACTGTACAAATTAACTGCGTAAAACGATTCATTTTACTGTACATACATACATATCGTCATTAGATACGAATAAAGACACGAGCTCAAAAGTTGACAGCGAAAAAAGACGCGTAAAAAATTTTGGCGAAAAATGACTCTTAGGGCCGGTTACTCAATGTCTGGTTAACACTAATCTGCGGTTAAACATCTTTATCGACGTGTTCGACTCCATGCATACAACAGGGAGTCGGTATCGTCGATAACTATGTTTAACCGTAGCGTTAACCTCTTTGACGGCGAAGAAAGACGAAGAAAGCTTATTTTCGCGGTCAACTATGTTTGCGAGTATACGAATTCCCCAAAGAGTTTTTTCCGGAATGATGTTGAATCCATGTTTATGCGTCTTTTTCGCAAATTTTTTTCACGCATCCTTTTCCGCCGTCAAAACACCCGATCGTCTTTATTCGTGTCAAATTACTATATTATTTTTAATTACATCGGAGATACCCGCGTTGCGACCTAAGAAGATATATTGTGCTAAATCCTAATTGTAATCACTCCAACCTTAGGCTATTTACAAAGCTCAGCACTTTGGATGAAAATTTTAGATGGAGAAGACAATCCTTCTCAAAGGTGCATCAATCTAATATTCATGCTTCGTGGACAGGCACATAGAATATACTCTAGGGTTTCCTTCACCGGCCCACAAAGCCTACATCAGTCTCTACAGAAAGACCCTTTAATTCAATCGGTAAGTTAACATGCAGTGTGCTGTCAGGTAGTCAGTAAGAGTTTTAAGTTCAAGGTATCTTTCGGAGTTCCTCCTGAAAAGTTATGAATCTCTTTGACTGTCTTATTCCCTTCGACTTCCGGAATTGCTGCACTCCCAGCTAGCTCCTAAGTAGGTCTGTAGTGTATCCTTTAGATCAGAGGTTCCCAAACGTTTTTTTCTCGTAGACCCCTTTAAAACATTTACTGGTTTCGGTGGACCCCCTGCTGATACATTTCTAAATATTCCCAAAGCTCGTAAAAAAATTAATTGTGAAAATTAGATCTAACAATGTAGATTTTCATCGCAGGTGAATTCAAAAACTAAACTCAGAGTGGCCAAAATAAAAGTAAAAAATATTTTTTTGTGTTCTGGTTATAAAAATAATGTGATTACACACTTGTAGGTTTTAAAAAATAGAGCTCGTAAATACATCAAACTACTATCTCGCTCGGAAGAGTTATATTTTTTAAGAGCACTGCGAGCGTTAGCGTTATTTACATTATCTTCACCATAAAATCATCAAATGTTCGGCTCACTCATGACTTTGCACGTGGAGTATATGTAAAATAGTTTATTTGTGTTAATGGCATAATTTTTATTTTTATCGCTCCGAGTTTTAAAGTGAGGCGAAAAATATTTATCACATTTTTAGAACACAAAACTTAAAACATCAAAACGGTTAAGCTTTTTACGCCAAACTTTTAATTCAGAAACACAATAAAGAAAAGAACGAGTTTAAAAAAATCGATGACAAATAACCAAGCTAGCAAGAAGCACCAAAAGTGTTCCACCGTGTCATCTTCCTCAAGGCAATATGGGTAAATGGACTTGTCATTTACGCCTATCACAGTCAGGTGTTTGTGCCACGTGAAGTGACCAGTCAGCAGTCCAGCAAGTTGTCTGCAGAGTCGTCTGCTCAGTGAGAGCAAAAAATTAGATAGACCTTGTGAGATTAAAGGCAACATGAGTTTTGCCAATTTCTGATGGTCGCTTCGATTGTCGAAGTTGAGAGTGCTAAAACTGGTTGCGGACCGAGGAATGCCTGGTCTGAGACAACTCTGGCCAAATGATCAGATGTCTCATAACCTGGTACTCCAGAGTGACCTGGCACCCAGAGTAAAACAACCTCGTTATGTTCACCATCATATTTAGTCGAGACTTGCATTGCCGAACTATTTTGGAAGTACTTAAATAGAGGGCTGGTCAATGCCTTAAGTGCAGCTTGGTTGTCACAATTATCAGGTTACATTGGCAGAACGATCAGCCTCGATGGGTAAAATTGCAGCCTTAACTAAATCATATTTTTGGTCGATGATTTTTACAAGTTAAGGGCGTTCTGCCTCCCAGTGCTACCCTCCCCAGGGTGTAATATCACAGATGCCAACTCAACATGCCCCCCGTAACGCGCTGGCGCGTAACTATATGTTCCACCACGTAGTCCATGGCTTTTAGTATTGCAATTACTTCAGCCTGGAAGACCGAAGCATATTCCCCTACAGAAAAGTGAAGCTTATCTCCGTTAACCTCGAAAAAGACCCCAGATCATGGCCCGGAGTCAGGTTTGGAGCCATCAGTGAAGATTCGACAATGTGTGAGTCCGGTCTCAGTGATGGAATCATGGAACTCAACATTATAGAATCTCTTCAACAAAGCTAATGGTGGCGTACTATTCTGTAGCATTGAAAAGACACAAGAGCTTAAATCTCTGCCACCAGAAATTTTCGCCGCCTCACTCATTGTCATACCAACATCCGGTCCATTTTAGTCTGCAGATGGCCTTTAAGGCTACCCCACGTATGAAAACACAAAGTGACGGTAAGTGCAGCAGTGCGTCAAGAGCACTATACACCTCTCAAAAAAATTAAAGTTAAACAAAGAGGCTATCAAGCAACCATTTTGGTTCTTTACATCGAAACCAGGTAAATCTTCGTGGACCCCCATTTACAACTCATGGACCCCCATATTTTTTTTACCTCACCGTGGACCCCCGTCGAGTCTTCCGTGGACCCTTGGGGGTCCCCCTGGACCGCTTTGGGAATCACTGCTTTAGATGTACCGCAGAAAGGCTCGGAACCATGCAAACGCATTTGAATACAGTCAGCCGTTTCGTTGCCTTCAAACCCTTAGTGTCCCTGAACCCTCCACAGCGGTACGCTATTGTGGACTTCTGGTTGGTCCAAGAGTTCACAAGCCTTGATGCCGGTTTAAAAGACCCTAAGGCTTCTAACGCTGCCTGAATATCATACATAATATTTATTCTGGCCTCATTTGCCTTCTACGATAAAATTCGCGAACACAGACTTCGATTGCGAAGACCTCCGCCCAGAATATGGTTGGCTACAAGCCCATTGACAGACTTTCCTGTAATCTTGGTCCAAGTACACCATAAAGTATATAAGGATGTTCGTATTGCATATTGGCAATAATAAGGGTATACGTTTGTACTGAGCAATCATGTTTGCGGCCGCCGTTATACGAACGCACCGGTGAAATATTCATGTAAAAAAATTGCTAAAATGTTTGTAGATACATATTTTCTATTTTTCTGAAATAACTATTACTCGTAGTCCCGAAACCTACCAAAATCCAATCAAGCCTACCAACCTACCTGATGAAACCGCTTTATTTCAGTAAGCGAAAAAATTTTATATTTTGATATTTTAAACGTAAATGAATGTCTACTTATTTCAACAATTATACTCATGAGCGTATATGAACAAGTACAAGAAAAAATTTTATATTTTGATATTTTAAACGTAAATGAATGTCTACTTATTTCAACAATTATACTCATGAGCGTATATGAACAAGTACAAGATCACATTGAAATCTATATTTAACACCTTTCCTCAATGTTAATCTGATTATATTAGATTTAATGTCAACTAACTTCAACTCATTCATTTTACAAAATAATAATGCTTCTGTTTTGACAGATTTTTAGTTAGCACATCCGCTATCATATTATCATTTGAAACGTATCTTAGTTCTATATCGCCACTCTGAATAACCTCTCGGGCAAAATGATGTTTTATGTCAATATGTTTTGATCTAGCATGATAAACTGGATTCTTCGCCAGATTTTGGGCGCTGAGGTTATCACCATAAATGATTGTTGATGTATTCATTTCACCACATCCAATCTTGACCATTAAGCGCCTCAAATGCAAAGCTTCTTTTGCAGCCGAGGATAGTGCCATGTACTCGGCTGCTTAAAGCCACACAACCTTGCTTCTCTGACTTCCAAGAAATCGGAGCACCTGCCAGGAAAAACACGTATCCTGAACATGATCGTCGGTTGGTCGTATCACCTCCCCAATCTGCATCCACGTAGCCTTGAAGTCCTTGGACGCATGCATAATAATTAAGATGCATGTCCTTCGTAGCTGCTAAATACCGCATTACGTGCCGCACGCCTTTGACATGTTCGCCATGAGGATTGTTGTTTCTTTGTGCTATAGAACGCCCCGAATGATAAATATCTGGCCTCGAAGTCAAAGCTAGCCACATTAACTCGCCTATTGCTGATTGATACGCCGTTGGATCTTCAACCACGCAATTAGAATTATCGCACGTTACTTGAAAACCTCTGTCTAGCGGTGTCGATGCAAACCTACATTGTTGCATGTTATGTCGTTGTAGCATATCCTTAATATATAATGACTGATTTAATGATATATTGCCTGTCTCACCATCGCGTTGAATCTGCATGCCCAAAAATGTCTGCATAGGACCCTTATCCACTCATTCGAATTTTGTTGCAATCATTGATTTAATTCGTATCAAGTCTGCCTTCTTCTGGCACGCTATAAGGAAATCATCTACGTAAATCAGTATCAAACAAGGGCTACCTTGTATGTCCTGCTTATATGAGCACGGCTCGTTCTTGCATTGAGTGAACCCAATTTCACACAATACTGTGTTCAACTTAGAATTCCACTCCCTTCCGGCTTGCTTTAAACCAGGGACCGAACATAACAGTTATTGATGAAAACTGTCATTGAAAATTTCACTATGAAGGAAATGTTCTACAACTAAGTGATACATACCAATCGATTTCTTTTTTCGCCCAGAATCAAA